AAAAATATTTAAATGGTGTAGAAAATGAAATGCAACACTTGCCCATTCTACTCTCTAGTATGTCTCACTAACCAAATAGAGTCATATTTTACCATTTACCTTAGTTCTTCCAGTGATTATTTTCACAACTCTAAATAATAAGATTTGCTTCTCTTACTTGGTTTTATCAACTTTGAACTTTAACTCTGAATCCCATTCATCAAAGTTGGGGGAGTATCTCACTTAACCACAAATCTGTTCCCCTCTCCTAAATTTGATTAGTTTTATTTATTTGTCATTCTACCAGTAAGTCATTTTAAAACTTTAAGTACTGTGTTTTTAAACTTTATTTATTTGAACCACAACTTACGACAGTATCTACAGAATCTGAATTATGTAGAAGGAAGTAATTGGCGCTTCAACTCTCCTATACTTCTCCCAGGACCCAATTCATATGTTCAACTTCATATGAGAGAGTAAACCTGTTGGAAGAGAATAGGCTGTCTCAAAGAATCCATGAGAAGGCCAGAGAGTCAGTGTCAATATGGGAACTAAGAGGGTTTAAACATCTGAGAACACAACCAAGTCACTGTACAGGACTGATACTGGCATCCCCCCCCCCCCCCCCATTGCACCTGTCAATGTTGGGTCTGGACACTGCTACTGCCTCTGTGAATGGGTCCTGTTGTGTCACAGCTCCAAGGTCCAAAATCCTGGCCATGGCCTCTGGTTGGCGGACTGTAGGTTACACTCCTGCCCTAGTGGACAGTCCTGGGGAGAGGACAAGTCTGATTTCCCTTCAGTACTCAACAATTAGATTAAGCAGCAGAATCGACACAGCTAATGATGAACTGATGAATGGGAAGGCCAATTCAAATAACTCTCTTAGAATGTGTTGGGAAGTAATAAAGAGATGGAACATGTAAAAGAGAAGAAAGGCTGTTTGACACAGAAATAACAGGGTGGGGGCAGAGCGGTGTCTAAATCAAAGAACTTGTTTCTTTGAGCTCTTCTGGCAGTGATTCTGACAGCGAAGGTGACAGAGTGAAAGAGGAAGAAGCACATTACTCCAGAAAAAGCTGTAAAGAAGCAAAAGAAAGATGAAACGTCAAGAGCTCTGCCATCCTCCAAGCAGAGCAGCAGCAGCAGACAGGGTAACACATCTCAGGTTGGGAAAACAAGGTATGTCAGCGTTGGGGACTTTAAAGGAAAAGGCCTATAACTAGAGAATGCTGGGTGGATCCTGAGGTGAACTGAATTCAGGAAGAAAGGTGTTTTGTTTGTTTTTTTAAGTCCCGAGCAATGGAGCCAGTGGAGGGAAAGGATTTTTGACTTTGACGATACAGTAAGAAATGGTGAAATCAGGGCCATACAAAATCTGCATTGTTCTAGCTGTTTTTATCTATCTTTTTACATTGGCTTTTGTTTTCTGAACGTTGTTTTCCAAGCTATTGTATGTTTGGATTGCAGAACAATTTGCAATAATACTTTTTGTTAATGTGGTTTATTAAAAATGTTCTGAGTGAAGCTAATTGTCAACTTTATTAAGGAGGATAGCTTTGTGCCCACCATCTAATGTAAAATAAAATCAAATCATAAAAAAAGATAAAAGAAATAACAGGGTAAGTGACTGTGTAAATGGATTTCCAGAAGGAGTTGTTAAAAATGAAAAGAAGGAATGAATTACTTAAAGAATTAATGACCAAGAATTGCACTGAGTAAATAGATAAGACAAATAAACAAAATAAATGAAAAAAACTAGATTGAAAAGGCTCACAGGGTGTGAAACAGGATGAATAAGTTGGGACAGAACCCTTCACTCTTACGCACATTATAGAAAAACTTAAGAATATCGAAGGTAAAAGGAAAGCTTATAGAGCTTTATGAAAGAGCAGATCCAGAATCAGCAGAGTGTAGGTCAACAAGATTCTGCATTACATTTTATTCTAGTAAATGTTTTATTCTTAATTTCAAACAACACCAAGGAGAAAAGTTTAGAAATGTTTTTTCTGCCTAAAATAAAATATCATTGTGTATATATATATATATATATATATATATATATATCAATAGAATATTATTCAGTCATAAAAAGGGAAGAAGTTCTCATACATGCTACAACATCGGTACAAATTGAAAACAATGCTGAGTGAAAAAAGCCTGTCATAAAAGACTATATATATCATATGATTCCACTTACTATATGAAAGGTCCAGAGGAGGAAAATCTATAGTGATTGTAAGTAGATTAGTGGTTTCCAGGGGGCAAAATATAGAGAAAATGGGTAGTGATTGCTTATGTGTGTAGAGATTCTTTAGCGATCACAAAAATATTCTAAAATTAAATAGTGGTGATAATTGCTTAACTCTATATGTACAAACACTGAATTTACACTCAAAGACATATTAAAGACATTAAAGACATAAAGATTGTTGCAATGTTTTAAAGGTAGAACTGACAGGATTTAGCTATAGAATGGATATGAGATATCAGAGAATAGAGGAATCAGAAATCATTCTGTTCGATGCCTCTGTACCTATTTTGTTTATCAGTTTATTATGTTCATTAGATTCTACTCCTGAGTAAGATCATGCAATATTTGTCTTCTTCTTATTGGCTACTCAATATATCTTGGGGGTGGAGGGAGATGGGAAGAGATTAACCAAAGAATTTATATACTTATATGCATAACCAATAAATACAGACAATAGTGTGGTGAAGGCCAGGGTGGGGCAGGGGCTGGGAGGAGAGAGAAAAAGGGGGGATTGAAGACATCTGTAATACTGTCTAGAACAATAATAAAAAGGCTAATAATATTGAAAAATACATTGAAAATCCCATCATACAGTGTTATAAATTTTTCTTTCAACAGTCATACCACTTTTTAAAGAATTTTAAAATGAGGGGAAAAAAGTGATTCTAACATTTTTGGCCTGAGTAACTTTCAGGGTCATCAGCTTATCTGGGGAAGACAGTGGGTGAAGTATATTGATCTGGGGGTAAGATTTGGAGTTTTGTTTTGGACAAGTTATATCTGAGATGTTTATTGGAGATGTTGAGTAGAGAGCTGAACATATGGAAGTCAAGGGAAATGATCAAACTGGAGATGTACATTTGGGAGTTGTTAGATTAAATATGATGTTTAAAATCATAAGACTGGTATAGGTCAATAAGGAAGTGAGTGTATATAGATAAAAGAAGAAGTCCAAGACTAAAACTCGGGGAACTCTGACGTTGAGAGATTATAGAAATATGGTGTTATTAGTAGAGGAGACTGGAAAGAAGTAGCTGGTGAACAAAAGATCATGATGTCCTGGAGGCCAAGTACAGGAAGAGGAAATGACTAACTTTGTCAAATGATGCTGATAATATCATGCAAAAGGAGAGCTGAGAATTGACCTTTAGGTTTAAAAATATACAACTCATTGGTGATTTAGAAAGAGCAGTTTTATTTAAAAAAATATATTTTATTGACTTTTTACAGAGAGGAAGGGATAGGTATATAGAGAGTTAGAAACATTGATGAGAGAGAAACATTGATCAGCTGCCTTTTGCACACCCTGTACTGGGGATGTGCCCATAACCAAGGTACATGCCCTGCCCGGAATTGAACCTGGGACCCTTCAGTCCCCAGGTTGATACTGTATCCACTGAGCCAAACTGGTTAGGGCTAGAAAGAGCAGTTTTAGAGGGGGTTGAAGTCCCTGTGTCCTTGCTAATTAGTGGCTGAGGGTCCTTCTCAGTTTCTAGAGACTATTTACATTTCTTGCCTTGCAGCTCCCTTCTTCCATCTTCAAAGGCTACAATGATGGGTCAGGTCCTTCTCATCCTTTGAATCTCCACTGCCTCTTTTTCTGTTGTCTCATCTCTCTGGCCAAATATCCTGCCTTCCTCTTCTACTTTGAAGGGCCCCTGTGATTACATTGGTTCAACCAGATAATCCAGGATAATTTCCCCATTTTAATGTCCATAAACATGAGCACATCCACAGAGCTGCATTTTTCCATGTAAGATACCATATTCATGGGTTCTGGGGGTTAGGATGTGGACATCTTTATGGGGGGCATTTTTATGTCTAACACAAGTCATAAAGTATAGGTTGTACTTTAAACCCTCAGAATAAAAAATATTGCCCAAGTATACGGTGTGATTGCTTCCTGTATCTTCTTCTGGGAGATTATTTTACCCATCCTTGTTCTATATGCCCCAACCTCTTATGTATTGAATTCCATATCTGGATAGGTGTTTTACCAACTTCTCAACAAGAAGACTGGTACCCACTTTCTTGACCTTGTTAATCTTATGATCTGTGGCTAAGTCCAATTTATACCCATCCATCACCTCCTCTCAGCCACCTCTACCTCTTGGGCTCTGCTGCTTCCCTGAGAGTATGCTCTTCTTGTATGTGGGTGACTTATTCACCTTGCTCTGGAACTGCCGGCCTCCTTTTTTACTTGATTCATGGCTATTGACTCTTTTCTGGAGTTCCATTTTTTACTTTCTGTCCATCCACTAGCTCTCTCCCTGCTGCATGCTGCAGACAGTACATTAGTGGAATCAAGCATGGCTATTCATAGGAAAGCTTATGCCAGCAACCAGGGGTGAGCCCCAAATGAGAGCTTTAAGCCCTTTGAATGATAAAAAGAGGTAGCAGGAAAAGAGAAGACAATATGTGCTGTGATGCCACATGGACTCTCCTGTAATTTTGAGGGTAAGAGCATGGGATTGAGAATCTGACTTCTTGGGGTTCCACTCCAGGATCTGATATCTACCAGCTATGGACAATGTTAAGTTACCACTTTCAGTCAGAATTTTCTCATTTATAATGTGGGGATAAAAGATAACCTCAAAGGTTTGTTATGAGCATTAAATGAGATAGTAGATGACCCCCAATCCAGTGTAACAAGTGCTAACTTCATTTTTTCCCCCTGGTTCTCCCCATCAAATAAGAAAACATAGGCTACTTGTATGATACTTCCAGATATTTCTATCTGGACACTTTTATTTTGAGTTTGGGGGAAGTAGCAGAGTCGGGTGTGGAGCTGGTGGGCTGCAGAGCGAGTAGCAGGGTCTCATTTGTCTTTAGTGGTGTTCTCAATCCAGGGTATATATTTGTAAACATTGGTGTAGATGCCGACATCCCCACCCATGAAGTGTCCGACCTCGATCCCCTGGAGCTTGTTTTTGCAGATGACAGTAGCGACAGCCACTTCCTATCAGAGATGGTGCAGAGAGAGGGACACAGAGAGAGAGAGATGGTCAGATTTTTTTCCTCAAGGGTGCCCCCTAGTCCCCAACATGGGTGAGCCCTGCCTAGAGGTAGCATGCTGGGTCATGACCAGAGCACTGAACTGGAAGACAGGAAGCTCTAGAGACATTTATCTGGATTTGTTGTAATTAGCCTTATGTGATCTTGCGAAAGTTAGAGAAAAACCTCTTCAGAACTTGCATGTAAAATGAGTCAAACCCCATTTATTTGAACTGGTGAAGCCAGCTTCAATTTGTGAAAAGTGTAAATTATTTTTGTCAGCAATGTCCATTTTCACTTGCAGCTATGAGAATAAAAGTATTATGAACTGCAGGCCCGACACGAAGCCCTTAAATGAATAAAGACATTTGTAAGGAGAGCCCATTACTGAAGAAACAACCTGGGCTTGCTGCAGCCATATCAGATTCTCAAAAAATTTGAGAGGATGAAAACTTTCTATTTTTTTTAAATATCAGGATTAAGTGATTAACTAGATACATACATATTCATGAAAGCTGAAAATAGAGGAAAGATTACCCCAAAAATTCGGCTGAACACTTTGACAAATTTCACACATAAGGCGTTCCTGTGGCTTTTTCCTTGCTCGGTTGTTTGACACTCTTTATCAGACATCACAGGGGCCTCCAGGGTCTGCCTCAGGTCAGGGTGCCTGCCTGAGGGGAGACAGGGAGAGAGAACCCTTCCTGTTCAATCTGGTACTTAGCCCTTCCATTCTCTACTGCAACCAGGGTTCTGGTTGTGTGTCTGAGAAAAAGGAGGAATGAGAAAAGGGGAGGAAATGATCCTGGACATTTATGGAGTCAGTCCTGAGGATTTTGAAATAGCATTTATGTCTCTGTAAGAAGCAGAGTTTTCTTTCTACTCTGTGTCCAGGCTTGCAGGAATAGGAGGTGACCTGACTCAAGTCCTCAGAGGTCTCCTCTGCATATTAACAAGCTTATATGAGAGGGTGGAACACAGCCTCTTTAATATGAATCCTGCCTCTGACAATCAGGACCCTTGTCCTCTGTAAAGTGAGGTGGCCTGTGATCTAGCTGCCGAAGCCCTAAAGAGGCAGTGGGGGCTGCATCCCTGCAAAGCTCCATCCCTGCAAAGGAGGAGCTTTGGACTTCTGGGGTGGGGGGGGTCTCTTTTTGCCAAACTGCTCCTGTAGTCTCTCCCTGCCCTCAATCCTCCCAATCTCCTCCCCTCATCTCTACAGACATGAGTGGTCCTCTTGAGGGAAAATTGATGGCTCTGACTTGCTGTGAGAGGTGCACTCACCACTGTTGTCATGACTCCAGTCCAGACCTGAAAGCAGACAGACGGTGCCTGGCCGGACGTTGCTGGTGGCGAGGGCGAGGGGCTGGACTTTGTGGCTGAAGTTGGCTGACTTGGCCAGCTTAATGAGCATGAGGTCATCCTGGGGGTAGCTATCACTGAAGTTCCAGTAGCGGATAATATTGATGGGGCTAATGGTCTGCTCTGTCCCATCTTTGACTCTGATCTTGAAATTTCCCAGCAACACTTTCAGATTTCTGGAGGGAGAGGGTTTGGAAGTAATCACTGTCATCACCATCATCACCATCACCATCATCATCATTGTCATCACCATCACCATCACTATCACCATCACCAAAGCTGATATTGAATGTCACAATGTGCCAGGTACTGTGCCAAGGACTCCATCTGGATTCTGGATTACCTCATTTAACACTCCAACAAACTAATGAAGTGAATTCTACTTTTAATCCCCGTTTTTCAGATAAAGTCATGGAGGCACATAAGAGTATTCACCCTTAGTCCCGTAGCCAGTGGCGGAGCCTTTAACTACTATGTTTTCATGCAGTGTCCTTAATGTAGAGGAGAGGGATATTGTGCATGGATAACCAACAGACACAGACAGTAGGGGAGTGAGGGCCCATGCTGAGGGGCAGGAGCGGGCAGGGAGAGGTCAATGGGGGAAAAGGGAGACATATGTAATACTTTCAACCATAAAGAATGAAAAAAAATTGTGCACAGTACAGATACATTATTTCCCTTCTTTCCAGCGCCAACCTATCCAGTTGGGCATTTCTGTTCTGGCAGAGGTAAGAGAATGGGATGACTTGAATGTTGGGTAGCTCCTGTTTGCTTCATCAGATCCACTCCCAGTTTTACTTTGTCCTGCTCTGTACCTTTGTAACATGATATATGTTGATTAAATCAGTGGGTTTTGGCTAGTAGGAAGCACTAGAAAGTAACCATAGGAAGAAGTGTGAGGTCGGAGTATTTATCCTCCTGGCTCCTTTCCTGCAGGTTGCCACAGATTGGCTGTTGGCTGTGTCTTATGACCAAAGGTTACAACTCATATAAGGTGGTCTTTTTATAAAATGATTCCTTTAGCTCTGCTTCCCCTATCCCCTCTCTTTCTCCTCCCAATTTGTACCCATTCTCTCCTCACCCCTTTAGGTCTAGGGGTAGTAACTACACCTTTCTTTGTTGTTTGTTAATCCTTACTGGAGGATATTTTTCCACTGATTTTTAGAGAGAGTGGAAGGAAGGCGGAGAGACAGACAGAGAGAGAAATATCGATGTGAGAGAGACACATTGATGGGTTGCCTCCTGCACTTGCCCCAACCCTAGGGCCAGGGCTCGAATCTGCAACAGAGGTACATGGCCCTTGACCATAATTGAACCTGCAGCCCTTCAGTCCATGGGCCAATGCTCTGTCTACTGAGCCAAACCAGCTAGGGTTGCACTTTTCTAATACTAACCACGGGAGTACTGCTGTTCTTTGTATTGTTCCTATTTCCCTTGTCCATACCTTTGTTGTTAGTTCTTTTTGAAAATTCTCCTCAATTTATCCAGTTTGAGTGCATCACAAGTTATTTGCTGGTCCGTAACTTATCAAACACATTCATATTGCCAGTACAAAACTTGAGAAAATTGATGAGAGGCTGAGGCATAATATCTACAACAGGGTTCTTCAATGGCAACACTATTGACATTTTGGGCTGGGTAATTATGTGTTGTGGGGGTTCTCCTGTGCATTGTAGATGTTTAGCAGTATCCTTGCTCTGGCTTCTATTCACTAGATAGATGCCAATAGCACAGCTGCCCCTAATCTCAATTTCATTGCGACAACCAAAAATATCTTTGGACTTTGCCAAATGTGCCCTGGAGGGAAAGTTGCCTCTATTTGAGAACCACTGATATAGAATGAGTGGTAGCTGTTTTGGAGGGGGTTGGGGATGCCCAACACTCACGTTAAGTAGCAGTGAGCTGGGGCCAGCACCCAGTTTTTTTTGATGAGGACACCCACACAGGGGTTGAAGTGAGACTTGAGGTATGCCAAATAGGGAGCATGGTCTTCTTTCTGCACAGACGAGTGAGTGAAGAAAAATGCTCCTGAGAAAATAAAATATCTTCATATATAGGACATTCTTATTACAAATAATACCATCAATAATTTCCTAGTTGAAAAGGAATATGTACAATTTTAAAGAAGTAATTGGCCAGGACATATTTGACATTTTTTCCTAATAAAAATGTAAATTGAAATGACATACCATTTTATCTTATATTTACAATAATCATTTTTGTTTAATGTTGATAAGATTCAATCAAGGAAAGTACAATGAGAAGGACTCTCATTCACTGTTTGTAGGAATGTGAATTGATTGTTACTTTTTGAAAAACAATTTAGAAATAGGTATCAAGAATTACAAATGGTTCATCACCTGTGATCTAATAGTTCCAGCCCCAATAACCCATTCTACTAAAATAATCAGATGTAGACAAAGATAATGAATAAGTATGCTCATTTTATCACTCTTTGTAGTAGCTAAACATTGGAAACATAAATGTTCAATACAGTGATGTTGGACATTGAAATGAAAAAGTACATGTCCAAATGGAACATCATACATATTAAATTGTATAAATAATATTTATAAATATGAAACAGCAAAGGAAATATTGGTAACTTTTCTTTAAGTTAAAAATAATTAAATCCAGTGATTCAATGGTCTAAAATAAGAAGCAACAAATAAACCATGTAAGTGCAAAAATATACAAATAAAATAAAGTCTGGTAGTAAATTCAAACCAACTCTTAGCACTGGAAGAGTGGGCTCAACCTGTCCTGAGAGCCCTTGAATGGGGCAGAGGAAGGGAAAACGCCAATTCTGCTCATGACCCTTTCTCTTGACTCTTTTTTGCACCTTCTACACACGCATCTGCCTTACTCCATCCTACATTAATCTATATCTTACAGGATAGATTAGAAGGTCATGTATACATACCAACAAGGACACTCAAACAGAAGATAAATTTCATAGCAATCTAGATCTTTCCCTGTGACATGTAGAAGATGATCAGTAGAGTATGGAACTTTTTCAGCTCAGTCTTCTCCTTGAGAACACCTGGTAGAATCAGTGGATATAGTTAGTATAGGGGACACGCAATGGCAATGAGATTGGAAAGCAGCTCTCGGCTTAAAAGGGGATGGAAGAGGGTTCTACATAAACAAATGGAGGCCCTTCTGCACCAGGGAAGGAGGGGACTATACCTCTATTGGGGTCTTTCAGGGAAGGAAGGAAAAAGAAGCCTATCTCTTCAGACTTCTGGATCCAGGTTTCTCTATCTGCTGTTCCTAAAAGCTCACCTGACTAAAAGTAGTTCAGCTGCCTGTGGGAAAGGGAGCTCTAGACTCGACTTATATTCCCCATGGAGTGTCTGAGGCCAGTACTATAGGGGACAGGATTCTGCACCTTAACTCAAGAAGACAGTGCCCCCAAGTTTGCTCTGAACCCCCCCAGTAGTTATTTATACTTTCCCTCAGCCCCTCCCTTCTTTATTACACTAGCTTCATCTTTCCCTGTGGTCACTGTTTCATCACTCGGTCATCACCAACTTAGTCTAGCCGTCCTGATCAACATTTTTGAGCTAAGAAAATATAGGAATAAAAAGCATTCATAGAGCAGTTATTTTGACATTTGGAGAATGCTTTGAATTCTAGATTACATCAGCTATAGGATCTACTGTATGTTGATGACAGTTAAGAAGGCAGGATCTCTAAGTGGTTTTTTAACCTAATGAAAAGATTTCTCAGTCGATTATCTGCCTCTTTCATCTTGGAATAATTGGGAACACACTTTAACAAGAAAAAGAGCAGTAATGCTGATAGCTAACACCCATTGAAGGCTTACTGAATCCTATGCACTGAACTAAGTTCTTTACAGACATTGTTAGTAGTGATTTTATATTAACTTACTCTAATATGATGTAAGTTACACTTTGTATCACTATAACCCTTTAAATTTTCTTAAGCCCATAATCTCATTTCAATGTCACAGCCAGGGAACAGGCAGTGCTGATATCATTTTTTTTTCCTGGAGCTGTAGGTGACACCTGAAACAGGGAGAATTTAATTAATTTTCTCAAAATCACACATGACTGGAAAGACTAGAAGTCAAATCTGGGTCTTACTGGATAAACAGCTTTTCAAGTACATACTCTAGGCTGCAACTAAACAACCAGCATTCATGAATCTTGGAAAACTACACCAAGTTCCCTCACACCAAGTCCCTCAGGTGTGAAATGAAAAGTGGATGTGGCACATACTTTCCTGAATGTTGCAATGAACACAGAGGTACATTGTGGAGAAGGCTGCTTAAGGAAATGCAGGTGGGGCAAAAGTAGGTTTATAGTTGTGTATGCGTGAAACACAGTTTATTCTTGTATTACTATTAATTATTGTATTATTTTCTATAAGAGCAATTGTAAAGCTACTTTTGTCCACCCTGTATACTGAGGTTCCAAGACAGCATGGAGTTGTGGAAAGTTTCCTGTGGTGTAGGATGGACTTAGTTAACAGGTGAAAAGTTGAGAAAGAGACATACTTACTCTGGGGTTGTTTCCCCCAGATATTTTGGAAATACTATGGGTTAGGATGGGAGTTTGAGGCCTGGGCTGGGAGTAGGAGGTCTAAGAACAGAAAAGCAGGGTCACTATCTAGGAAAAGATCTGTAAAAACAATAAATTTTTCTGGAGGAAGTAGCACTGGGGACTATGACCTCTCTATGAGTTTCAAATTGGTATCTCTAGCCCAGACTTCCAATCCCACATCTTCCAATGCCTTTTAGAGGCCATTGTTGGCATCTTCCTTAGGCCCCTGACATTTAGCATGTTAAAATTACACCCCTCATTTCTCCAGCCTTTCAGATTTATTTTTTTTAACTTGTTTTCCTTATTTTGGGATATAAATATACCTTCCACTTATTTGATTTCTCTCTTTTTCTTACCACTTAGTCCTCAAATCCTCCCTATTTTGAGGAATTCCTAAAATCCATCCATATCTTCCCATTCTCATTGCTATCATTCTAATCTAGGTCATACACTTGTCTCCCATGACCTAATGTATGTGACCATCCATTGTTTCCCAAATTGACTCTTTCTCTCTGACTCAGAATTGTTTTTTCTCTAAAATCCAAATGAGGTCATATTAGTCTTCTTAAAACTCTTCAGTAGTTCCCTACTGCCTAAAGAATAAATCTGAGCATGGTTTAGGGACCTCCCTTGATCTTCATTTCATTTTGTCTTTGTCAGCCTTTCTTTTAATCCCTCTTTGACACCCCTCTCCCCCCTGGCCAGCCTATACACTTCTTTTTGAGGCCTACCAAACTTAATGTGGGTTTTCTTGTTTTAATACTAATAACTTTAGCCCTTAACTCATCCTTAAGCTTATGAATCCCATTCATTTTTTTTCCCTTTTTGTTTTAGGTTAGTGATGGTTCTTAAAGCTTCTCTTTGAAAAAATAATTTTAAAATGGTTTTAGCAGATACTCAGGAAAAAAATTAACTTTAGAATCTTATGGATGGGTGGATTGTGTGTGTGTGTGTGTGTGTGTGTGTGTGTGTGTGTGTGGTGTTCAACATTTTTTCGTATGTTTGTAAATTAGTTGCTATTAAGTTCTTTATTACTGTTATTATAGCTTCTCTGTACATATGGAGACATATCTGTCCCCAGCCTCATTCTACAGAATATCTCAAGTTTATAGGACTCTAAATCTATTATTGTTTTATTCTGCCATCTGCTTTACCACTTAAGTAATACTCTTGTTATATTTTGCCACCAAAAATAAATTTTAAAAAGGCAGCTAGAGAGAAAGTTGAGAGAGATGAAGAGAGAGTGCATGAGAGAGCGAGCAAGTGAGCATAATCGGGCCATATCCAAGTGGACATTGTGGTAAGAACAGATTGACAGGGGCCACTGGTATGGGTATTGGTTGGGAACTTTTATTCAAATTGATATCTGTGGTTGTGTGGTATGGATCTGTACAAGTGAAGCAGTTCTGAGGAGGGGTGGGCTAAGTGTGACATATGCATAAAGGAGAGGGGAGTCAGTGTCACACAGAGGGGTGGAGACAGCTTTGCTTCATCAGAGTAGTCCAGAACGGAGAGGGGTCAGTGGGACATGTAGAGGGAGGGGTGCCAGTCACACACTGTGGGGAAGGAACTGGTGAAAAAACTGAGAGGCAAGGGAAGGAACTTGGGATGAATTTTTAACTCCACAGAAGGTTTAATTGACTCCTACTTTGGAATTCTTTCCCCTAGATGAGGTGGATAAAGCTAAAATCCTAGGAACTCATCATCCCATAGGGTGGATTTTTACTTAGGCTGAGAAGATTTCTGTATCTACTGTCCTGTTTTACACTGAGGCTCAAGACCAGAAAGAGAGCCCTTGAGACTACAAACTTGTATAGAGTCCTCATCCTGGTTCAGTCTCCTGCACCTCCTCCCACTGAATTCCCACGCAGGTTATAAGTTCTATCCCTGCTTTGTGCCTATTAGTTTCCACTACATCCTTATCTTCAGAACAGGATTCAGGCATCAACATGAAGTGTGTACTATTAACCTTACTGATGGTGACTGGTGAGTGATGACCAAGTTGATTAGAACTCTATTGGGGTGGGGGAGGGGGAGGTTTGGAGCTTGTTGGAGAGGGAGAGCTGGTGCATAAGGAACATGGAAGTTTGGGAAGTAGGTGATATACTAGTTATTTTCTGTAAAGGTTCAGCGATTTATTATATCTAACTACACCTTTTATTATGGGCTTAAAACCTCCTGTGAATGTCTGATAACCTTCTCTGGTTGAAACATGGAGGATGTCAGAAGGGAGGATGGAGATAGGATCCTGGAAGAGGGCATAGAAATGTATAAAAGAAAATAAAAAGCAAAGACAGTAGGTATTTTGCTGTGTGGTTCAAAAGGAAAAAGTAGATTTTGTTCTTGGGCTTTAAAATGTGTAATAAATAATAATAGTCAAACCACCACCACCACCATAAAAGCATATCTTACCTAATAATAGACAAACATGTAAATTGACTGTACCTTCGCTACGCTAACCAGCCAATCAGGAGAGTATGCAAATTAACCTAACAAAGATGGCGGTTCATTTGCATACGTAGGCTCCAAGCCGTGGAGCAAAGCCTGACAGCCCCGGGGCTGGCAGAGCAGCGAAAGCCTCGAGGCCGCAGGGCCGGGGGAGCATATTTGGTGGCAAGCATATTTGTACCATGCGGGGCCGGCGGAGCAGCGAAAGCCTCACGGCCACGGGGCCAGTTCCAGCTGGAGCCCGGCCAGAGTGAAGGCCTGGGTGCCGGGTGCCGGAGGAAAACCAGTGCCAGCAGCCAGGGGAAAGGAAGGCCTTTTGCACGAATCTCTTCGTGCAACAGGCCTCTAGTACTTATATAATGAACACTGCCCTGTTTTCTACATATTAACTCATTAAATTCTTATTAAAACTTTTTGAGATAAGTATTATTGTTCTTATTTAGTTGATAAGAAACTGAGGCACAGAGAAATTAAGTATCTCGCCCAAAATGAAATTAGTATGGCTCTGTAATTAATAATGCTCTTCTACTTAATAGTTAAGTGGTTTTGGACAAATGCCCTAACCTCTCTGAACCTCAGTTTTCTTATATGAAAGATGAGAAAAATAATGTCTGTCTTTTAATGACATGTAATGCTTCCTAAAGACTGACTGTAGTTAACCGAGTTAAGTGCAGTAGAGGATGGGTAGGTTGTTTCATTCACACAGAGGAACCAGCAAGTGTGAAGGTCATAAAGTGGGACATACTTAACTAAAAGACCACCCCTATTGCTAGAGTGCAGAGGAAGGAAGTAGATTAAGAGTTATATATTGTAGAGGGTCTTCTAGTCTTGGTTTTAGAAATTATTCTCTTGGAATCATGATGTCTGGTCCCAAAGCATCCCTACAGTTGACTAGTAGGAAAAGTCAGGGAGCTGTGGGAAAGGCTGCATTGTTGTGACTG